AGCATGCATAACACTAGTTTCCAGCACACTAGTAGCATGCGCAACACTAGTTTCCAGCACACTAGCAGCATGCATAACACTAGTTTCCAGCACACTAGCAGCATGCGCAACACTAGTTTCTAGAACACTAACAGCATGTGCAATGCAACACTAGTTTCCAGCACAATAGCACCATGCGTAACACTAGTTTCAGCACACTAGCAGCATGCATAACACTAGTTTCAGCACACTAGCAGCATGCATAACACTAGTTTCCAGCACACTAGCAGCATGCGTAACACTAGTTTCAGCACACTAGCAGCATGCGTAACACTAGTTTCCAGCACACTAGCAGCATGCATAACACTAGTTTCCAGCACACTAGCAGCATGCNGCAGCTGCTATGCAATAGTAACAATCTAAGTTATGAATATAAATACATGATAACTTATTCGTAACATTAAAAAGCTACTTTTGCCGATACTCAAAATACCCCAAAACTCTTACTTTTTCAATAAGTATTAAAATGTTGTTTGAAGGGAGCGAGTTTAGTGCAGCAGCGACATACTGTACATAATATTTTCGGAAGATGAAACAGTAACAACAAAATCAACAACAACAACATCGTTAATAATAAATAAAACAACAACATCAACATGAGAGCGGCAGGCTGCAAGCCTTTCCTACCTGCGCAGGACCATCAGGTATCCTGACGATGTACTGGTAGTACTTCTTACCTGCGCAGGACCATCAGGTATCCTGACGATGTACTGTAGTACTTCTTCTTACCTGCGCAGGACCGTCAGGTATCCTGACGATGTACTGTAGTACTTCTTACCTGCGCAGGACCATCAGGGATCCTGACGATGTACTGGTAGTACTTCCTCTTCTCCTGCAGGTCGAGGCGCCGCAGGTCGGGGCACAGGTCGTCCTGCGGCAGGCAACACGCGTACTCGGCGAGCTCGTAGCGCAGCGAGTGGTTCACCCACCGGTGCATGGGGAAGTAGTACTCCGACTGTGGGGAACGAGGGGGAATAGCGCGGGATTAGAGGGGGAGGAATGGGCGCAGAGACTGGAAAAGAGGATGGGGAAATAGTACTCCGACTGTGGAGAACAATGGGGAATAGTGAGGGATTTGAGGGGGGAGGAATGGATGGGGCTGGGCGTAGAGACTGGAAAACAGCATGGGGGAGTAGTACTCCGACTGTGGGGAACAAGGGAGAATAGTGGGGGATTAGAGGGAGAGGAATGGATGGGGCTGGGCGCAGTGACTGGAAAACAGCATGGGGAGGTAGTACTCGGACTGTGGGGAGCAACATGGGGAAGTATAGTCCCGGGACTGGGAGAACAACATGGGAATGAACATTGTCCGAGAGATTAGTAGGCATGGGATGAGCAGCCAGCCCCGTGAGGTGGAGAAGTGGTAGAGAGTGAGGGTCTCTGCTCACGTGATCGATAGATTACCATTGCGTTTAGGTCGGGAACAAACCACACTACTGAGCACGCGTCAAGTATGCTGTGTGGCATGTGCTGTGCACGCGTCAGGCACATGCCAGTCACTGTCCAGTCCCATATTCTTTAATGCTTAATTCAAAGACGCATTCACACCATGGGCCTTGTAGGTGCCTTGATGGTGTGAATGCTTCTATGGAAATGCATCAAAGAATATTGCACTGCACCGTGACTGGCATATGCCTGCACGTTCCCGGCAGTGCTGTGTGAACCCGGTCTTATTGAAGTCTGCCTTCAACGGTCTGCGTACTCGGCGAGCTCGTAGCGCAGCGAGTGGTTCACCCACCGGTGCATGGGGAAGTAGTACTCCGACTGTGGGGAACAAGGAGGAATAGTGTGGGATTAGATGGGGAGGAATGGGCACAGAGACTGGAAAACAGTATGGGGAAATAGTGAGGGATTTGAGGGGGAGGAATGGATGGGGATGGGTGTAGAGACTGGAAAACAGTATGGGGAAATGTAGTCGGACTCTCCGACGGTGGGGAGCAACATGGGAAAGCATAGTACCGGGACTGGGAGAACAACATGAGGATGTGCATGGTCCGACACATTACCGACTACCAAGCACGCGCCGGACACTTACCAGTCACTGTCCAGTCCCATATTTTTTAATGCTTTATTCATATATACGTATGCAGCTGCTATGCAATAGTAGCAATCTATGTTATGAATAAAAATGCACGATAACTTATTCGTAAGATTAAAAAGCTACTTTTTCTGATACTCAAAATACCCAAAAACTCTACTTTTTAAAGAAGTATTAAAATGTTGTTTGAAGAGCGATTTACACCATGGGCCTGGCATGTGCCTTGCGCGGCTGGTGTGAATGCTTCTATGGAAATGCATCAAAGAATATTACACTGCACCGTGACTGGCATATGCCTGGCACGTGCCCGGCAGTGCTGTGTGTGAACCCGGCCTTATTGAGCTCTGCCTTCAACGGTCAGACTTACGGTATGCTAAGGTGACATGTCCTACAAAATGATAGCTTCATCGCCAAAATGATCGTATCATCACGAGAAACGGCGTCGGTGACCGCATCGTTTCTATGGTCACAGGAACATATTCACAAAGAAACAAAATGTGAACTTGTAAGCTGGCGCAGCCACGTTATGGGCAGGTTAAACGTACATAACCACTAACCTTTAATCCTGTGACGCAGTCGTTGTCGGCTGCCGTGCCCGGCGCTAGGAGCTTCTCCTTAGGGATCTTGCGGTGCTTCTTGAGCCTCGCAAAGCGGGGATCCTGCACGATTATGTAGTCGCAGAACCAGCCGTCCAGCATCCCCTTACGGTCCCGCTGCAGGTACAGTTTCACCACGCGCTCGAAGCCTGTGCGAATAGCAAGTTATTTCAGCACAATTAAATTATTTTTGTCGCCGACTTAGACTACGACAAGCGGAACTGTGATTTACGAGCAACGTATAGATGTCCCGAGACTGCAACATGTCCCTGGTGCGTGTAGAGCCGTTCGTGCAGAACTATTGCATGCACCAGTACAGAACTAGCTCATGAAGATACCCAATCAAATACGAAGCTCCGAATAAGATACTGAGTTAGAAGAATTAAGGTTACGAGGTTGCGGTTACACAACAACACTACAGCGGTTACGCAAAACATGCGGTGATCACGTGCACGTATGCGTTGACGGGACGAAACGAAGTGCTTCCCTTCAACAGCTAGCATTTCTAGTGGAATACAGACATCGAGTCTATTTCTGAAGCGAAAACACACGAGGATTTAAACATAGTCATGTCACCTCGTATAAATAAGAATAATTTAATAACCCAATCTGGAGCTCAGTTTTGTGCGTAATAAAGTTAATGGACTGAACTAATTTCTATGGCTCATCAATAAAGAGGAGAGCTGTGAAGCTAGCTTCAGATGCAGAGGGCTATAGGAGTTAAGAAACTGCTGAGTCATGGGACGAATTTGGCGGGCATCGAGGTTGAACTCACAAGGATTTTTAAATTTTTACGGGAAGCGCTCGATACAAAATAAGCCAATTGGTCCAATAAAGATTAGCTGTTTGGTAAGGACAGAATTGTCAGGCAGAATGGCAGCGACGAAACTAATCCGAATTTAATGGCAAAAATGGAATTAATTGTTTTGAAAAAAGAAAAGTTATGAAAGAATTCATACAGAACAATTCAGGACGAACTACAAGCCAGTGTGGTCCCACCTTCTGGCAAATGAAGCGTGTACGTGTCCAGTTTCCCTCTCTCCAGGTCATCATAGTAAGGCTTGTCGAGCTTGAGGTTGATCGTCTTCAAGCCGTTGTTGTCTTCCAGTTGAATGTAGACGTTAGCGTCTGTACCAGACTTCTCCTGGTCGCCAGTCTTGACGAGAATGCGGGCCTTCATGCAATCAGAAGCGGAGGATTTCCGGCGGCCTTCATCCCCAGCCATGTCACCCCGACAGGGGCTAGAACCCCTGCTGTGGGTGGGGCTTCGAGAATGGGGTGAAAGGAAAGCGTCAGAAGTTTTCCGACCAGACTGCGGGGAGCCACGGGGGGTTAGACTGGATACTGAGGCTGGGGTCTGTGATCCTTGTGGGGTCTGGTCACCTTTTGGGTCTTGAACGATGATCTCGTCACCTTGGGGATGATTGATGATATCATTCGACTGCACCTCCCTGCGCCCGTTGGATGATGAAACTGAACCCATTGTGCAGATGTGTCGTCTGCATCGATAAGCTATACGGTGCTATAGTTCTTATCTCGTGTGGAGAGGCAATAAAATTATACCTTTAATAACGTCAAGTTCTGTAAAGGAAGCATTCAGTCAGAGGTACGAACGTATAAAAAATTGTCGAGTGCATCAAATTGAAGGAGATAAGTGCAAATTATTCTTAGATATTGGGGAAGTCTAGAGCAGAATGGCCGTGAATATTTCTTGATATCAGAACAGCAACCCGCAGCTACATGCCACATGTCAATGTCAGACCCAAAAAAAAAAAATAAATTGAAATAATGTAGACAAGAGGAAACAAATTACAGGTTAGGTATTAGAACGTGAATAACGTGTTTGTGTAAGCAACAACAATATCCTGGTCAAGACAAGTGCAACGGAGGCGCTTTTGCTTTGGAAACAATTTAATTTCAACAAAACTCCATGCTCTGCACGACAAGGAAGAAATGCGGGCGAAATGAAGTATAATACGGTATTGTGCTGAACGAGCGTAATTTAGACGCCCCATTCAATATTGCATCACATATAACACTACATTCCCGTATAACACTACATTCATCCCCGTATAACACTGCATCCCCGTATAACACTACATCCCCGTATAACACTACGTCCCATATAACACTACGTCCCGTATAACACTACGTCCCCGTATAACACTACATCCCCGTATAACACTACGTCCCCGTATAACACTACGTCCCGTATAACACTACATCCCCGTATAACACTACATCCCTGTATAACACTACATCCCCGTATAACACTACATCCCTGTATAACACTACATCCCCGTATAACACTACGTCCCGTATAACACTACATCCCCGCATAACACTACATCCCCGTATAACACCACATCCCCGTATAACACTGCTGTCGTCCGCTGTCTGTACTGCCCGGCCAAATATTTGCACATATATTTTTTCCACTCAAATTTTAGATGAAGTCTCTCTCTACACGTCATTCACGCACATACATCGTCATGATATTGTTTACGAAGGGAATATGTTGACTAATTGAATCATACGCACCAAATTAAATTATAGGATAGTTAAGTCAAAGTCCACAGAGGCTAGGGAGAAGATTGTCAATTGGACACATCGATATGTTACGATCTGCTCATACCCAATCTCATTTAAGAAGCGTTTTGAAGCGAATAAGTTAGGGTCGAACTGTTTTTTAACTTGGTGGATTAAAGAAATCAGGAATGTCGAAGGTTCAAAAATAATTATATCAAAAATAATCGTATATTCAGAATATACGCAAACATCAAAATTCAAAAGCCTTTCGGTTATAGAAGAATTTTCTTTACCCGACGCCAGCAAAACACAAGCACCGAACACTGAATCTTGTTAGCCCCGTCCGTGCAAATCCACGACCTTGAAACTCAGAACACGACCTTGGAACCAGTCCATTGTTAAGGCCTCGTTATCGTTCATTAACAAACTTATCACAATATCATACTTAGTTCTGATGAAACATCGTAATTACCATTCGGTGCCTGACTGATCAAAAATTTGCGAAAACCATTTTTCATAATTTAAATGAGGTTTGATTGACAACCAAAATAAAAGAGTTGTGTTCACTATTTTTAACATTTTAAGACAGATATTGTGTGCATATAAAATTTTTTGATCAATTATAGAACTTGCATGATTAAAACGTCTCACCATTTCAACGCTACAGTCAATTTCAATTCAAGGTCGATTCAATAACTGAATGCCCTCCTATCAAGGAAATAATCCAAGTATTATTTATAACCTACAATGATGCACGAGAATAGAAAGGTTTATTTAATGAGCTTAAAGTCATGGGTTGCACGCATACGCGCGAGTGACCACCCCCAACCTCTGCCTGCGCCTGACTGCCGCGGGGTGCACATGACTGCCTTTATATATACGGAGGCGGGCACCCGCGTCCTGCGTCACAGTCGCGCGATGAACGTTCCTGTTCCACAAGCGGAGGGAAAAATTAGTATACATTGAGGTATCGCTGTCAGTATGTTGCATCATGCTTCGTCTGTGTTTTTTTAGAGTCGCTTCTGCTTTCAAGTTGTTGAGCACCAACGGAAGTATACGATGAACCAGCTGATGATTCACCTCATATTTCCTGTATGCCGCCCCCGACACGACACACCAACTCGAGGGCGGGGATACAAGCTGCTGTTCTTGCAGAGCGAAGCGTGTAGCTGCAGTGTAACTTTTGACCGCAGTTACACGTTTTCATCAAGATGAGTGGCATTCATAAAAATATTAAGGTGCCAGGTTGCTCTAAAAAATATTTTCTCCACAGGGACGTCTGTCTAAATCCTGTAGCTCACAAATGATGGTCAACATCCGATGCCTCATCAGCGGCCGGCATCAATTGTCGAGGTAAGCCTGGACGAAGAGAAATCGTATTTCCGGCGCGGTGAGCGCAACCCCGGGTGGCGCGTCTGAGGGTTGTCGATCCCATGTCCTGCTGGGATGAACTGATCTCACTGCACTGCACTGCACTGCACTGCACTGCACTGCACTGCACTGCACTGCACTGGCTGTAGGTTGGCTAGCCCTAGCAATGCACCTGCTACAGCCAGTGATGACCTATTCGCTATTCGTAAGCAATCATTATGCAGGAGGCGCTAGAGGATGTGAGCAGAATCTATAACGGCAAAATAGTTTGCAGGCAGATCAGTAATGCGCCCAAACATCGTAATTATTATTCATTAATATCCCCCAGCATCAATATGCCCTTCTGATATATATAGCCTCTTTTATCACAACTATAGTCTGCTCTAGGCAACGTCACGAATACCAATACCAAACGTTCACCAACAAGCAATCCAAATCATAGCACAATTAAACACCATTATAGAGTAAACTACATGACCAGAAATTCTACGGTTGCAAAAAGCACGCCTACATGAGTTAACCTACCACTTTTGTTGCGTCATTGTTTGTGGTGAAGTATCCTCCTACGTAAGTTAGTCTTCGACAAAATAGTTTGCAGGCAGATCAGTAATGCGCCCAAACATCGTAATTATTATTCATTAATCTCCCAGCATCAATATGCCCTTCTGATATACCTGTATAGCCTCTCTTATCATAACTATATATAGTCGGCCTAACCTAGTTATCGTCACGCGAACCGAATAACAAATGTTCACCAACGTGCAATGCAAATCATAGCCCAATTAAACACCATTTAATTATAGAGTAAACTACATGACGATAAATTCTAAGGTTGCAAAGCGTACGCCTATACGAGTTAGCCTACCACCTTTTGTTGCGTCATTGTTCGTGGTGAAGTATCCTTCTACGTGAGTTAGTCTACCGCCTTGCGGTGCGTCATTGTTCGTGGTGAAGTATCCTCCTACGTGAGTTAGTCTACCGCCTTGTGGTGCGTCATTGTTCGTGGTGAAGTATCCTCCTACGTGAGTTAGTGTACCACCTTGTGGTGCGTCATTGTTTGTGGTGAAGTATCCTCCTACGTGAGTTAGTGTACCACCTTGTGGTTCGTCATTGTTTGTCATTGTTTGAAAACCTCGGCAGCCACGGGACGGGCTAGATGGCCGAGCGACGTTCACCATCACTGCTCTGGCTGATGGTTTAGCTATGTAACATCACTGCAGTAATTAAAAAAAGGAAAATTTGCGCTACTGATTCGTATAATCATACCGGTTTAGACTGCCAGGTTAAATAGATGGCTCCTTACACTTTATTGAAATTTGCCGACACATAGGTAGTATATTTTAGCTCAAGGTTAAGTGGGAGGTTTAACTGATGTATCCTAAATTACCTATATGACTTTTATAATCTGGAAGTGGAATGAACTTGAGCTGTGATATGAAATATCCGACTTGGTTATCTGCAGTCACTAAAATTGAGGCATTTAACCTCATTTCCATCTCCCAATACATTAGTGAACTGAAAATAGTTCCTATAGAATAATTACAAACTGTCTCTATTGCTAAGTAAAAAATTGAAGCATCCTACTGAGCATGCAACTATGAGAGGTAAATTCTCGAGGTCGTCGCCCCATGCATGCGAGCCCAGAGGCATCCTGCGAGCCCGACCAGCAGGGCAACCGCAGAGCGTGGGATAGCCTAAGAGATCCTGCAGCTGCCTTTACCAACAGATCCTGCCGCTACCCCTGTCTCTTATACACATCTAGATGTGTATAAGAGACAGGAGTTAGTCTGCCGCCTTGTGGTGCGTCATTGTTTGAGGTGAAGTATCCTCCTACGTGAGTTAGTCTGCCGCCTTGTGGTGCGTCATTGTTCGTGGTGAAGTATCCTCCTACGTGAGTTAGTCTGCCGCCTTGTGGTGCGTCATTGTTTGAGGTGAAGTATCCTCCTACGTGAGTTAGTCTGCCGCCTTGTGGTGCGTCATTGTTTGAGGTGAAGTATCCTCCTACGTGAGTTAGTCTGCCGCCTTGTGGTGCGTCATTGTTTGAGGTGAAGTATCCTCCTACGTGAGTTAGTCTGCCGCCTTGTGGTGCGTCATTGTTTGAGGTGAAGTATCCTCCTACGTGAGTTAGTCTGCCGCCTTGTGGTGCGTCATTGTTTGAGGTGAAGTATCCTCCTACGTGAGTTAGTCTGCCGCCTTGTGGTGCGTCATTGTTTGAGGTGAAGTATCCTCCTACGTGAGTTAGTCTGCCGCCTTGTGGTGCGTCATTGTTTGAGGTGAAGTATCCTNGCGGGCAACCTGCTCCAACCTGCCACAAGAATGAACATAGGATAATAATGTAAGTGTTCACAGTGAAAACCTGTACGAATAGGCTTCTGTATTCTATGGTTTCAGGCGCCAGCCTGAGCAGGTAACCAGCACGCTGGCAACCTGCTTCCACTGCACTGCAAGGCCGGTAAGACTGGAATACAGACCTCGCTCAGACTTGCTGACTCTTGAACATTGGTTTTGAGGCCATACGCTCATATAAATGAATGGACGATATTGTCCTAATATCGAGGATACTTCACCACTAACAATGACGCACCACAAAGCGGTATAGACTAACTCACTTAGGGGGATACTTCACCACACACATTTTTTCTTGCCACACACACACATTTTCATACACACATCATGACTGCAGCGAGCAGAGCTCGACTTAGGAGCATGACTGTAGTCAATGATCGCACTCAGTAAGCTGCGCACGCTCCTTCGGCCTCCGGGCTGCGCTTGATCAAAGAGCTCACTTGGGTGAGCTCACTTTGTGAGCCCACCTCACAAAGCGCACTGAAATATTACCATAAAAAGGCACGACCAAATGAATAATTATAAAAATTGCG